TGCCTCAGCCTCCCAAGTAGCTGGGACTACAGGCGTCCGCCACAATGCCCAGCTATTTTTTGGTTGCAGCCATCATTGTTGTTTGGTGGGCCCAGGCTGGATTCGAACCCGCCACCTTAGGTGTATGTGGCTAGTGCCTTAGCCACGTAAGCCACAGGCACCGAGCCAACAATTGGTTTTTTCCTCTATTCAGCTGGAAACTTAATCCTTGATTGCACCCATCTGGCTCAGAAATTTTCCACTTTTTCTACCTCAAGCAGCACCCACTGACCAAGTTCATGCACTGAAGACTCTGCAAGGCCAGTTAAGGGAGTAGATGGTAGTAGCAGAGAAATTTCTAGACCCAATTTCCTCTTTATATGAGACTAATACAGGGACAGAAGTGGTCCAAGATTATTTGCATGTTTCACGTGACAATTTACCCGAAACCCAGACCTTCAGTAGGGCAAATTACTGAGACAGAAAAAGGGTCAAAGGAAAGAGTCAGTCTTATTCTGTGCTGGGAATATTATGAAACAGTCACTTCATACCTATTTATGAAGCACTTGCTTGTGCCAGGCTCTGTGCTAGGAGCTGGGGATACAGCAATAAACAAGATGAACATTGTCCTTGCCTGTATTCCTGCAGTGGTATATATCACACAAATAATTATACAGCTTAACTACTACTGAAGTTGTAGAGTACAAAGATAGAGTACAGTGTGCTATACGAATATATAGTAGGGAGGCAAACTAGTCTGGGGTATCCAAATCCAATAACAAAACTGAACACCCATACCCCAAAACAAAGCAAGAGACAGGGAGGGTCTGAGGAAGGGATGTCCTTACCTGCTCCCATGCAGCCCAGGCTGAGGCCAAGCAGCAGCGGCAGGAGTATGGTCATGCTCTGCTCTGTGAAGATGCCACTGGGAATTCAGTCCCCTGGACCAACTCTTCCAGGGGCCTTGAATCCTCACTTGTCCCAAAAGCCCCAGCCTGGGAAGATAATTTCCAGACTCTAAGCAGAATGTGGTATCATCCAGGCTCCTAGATCCCCACTAGATGAGTAATTTGGCGCTACCCAGCCCCCAGACACTAAACCTGTTCCTACCAGCTCATCAGAGTCCGGTTGTCAGATTGGCTAGGTAGGCGGGGACAGATGTAGAAACAAATCACTGAGTTCCTCAGCCTAGGATCATCTGTTACCAGGTAAACTTCATCCTACCCTAGGCTTAGACAACAGAATTTTTTCTTTTCCTCAATTCTTTTTCTGCAGAACAATTAGTCTGTAGGTGGATTCCCTAGATTAGTGGAGGGAATAATCCCAATATTCCTAGGGTATATGTAGCTTGGGATGCTCACTGATTTAACTTTTTCTCTCAATGTCTTCCCTACCTCCCCAAAGACTAGATAACATTCCTTGTTCCTTCATGGGAGATTACCCAGAAAGGTATTATAGGTATTTCCAAGTTACAAATATCCGACTCATATAACTTGCACTTACGAATGGGGGTCATTACAGGTAATAGATAAATATACCTGTTCCAACTTACATACAAATTCAACTTAGGAACAAACCTATAAAATCTATCTCATTCATAGCCTAGGGACTGCCTGTATATAAACCCTTGGTCTGTCCTGCCACCCAGGAGACAAGAGACAAAGGGCCCTTCTGGGGCAGGTGGCAGAGGCAGGGCTGCTGAGAGAGTACAGAGTCATTTGGTCTCAAAGCAAGACTGCAGAATAAGGGAAGAAGTTCCACCTTAGAGATCAGGCGGCCTGGTTCCCACAGTGGCCTGGAAAATCTCTTCATGGGCCTCCACTGCTGCTTCTCTCCTAGCCAGTCAAGCTTCATTTCCTCTTCAGCTATGATAGCTGCTTTCTAGAGCCAAGAAACCATATCCTCCTACACTGGAGCCATCTCAGGTGGAGGACCATAGGAAACCCCTGAAAAATAACTAGTGGTGGGCTAGCAATAGTCTACCTGCCTTCCCCTAAACTCTAAACTCCCCTGTGCATTTCCTGCTTGGTCCCAGGGCAGGTCCCTGCATCATGAAGCCACTGGAAAAATAAGATAAAGTTTCTCTACTTTCCTTCCTCTGGAAAAAAACAAGTTTTTCTTTTGTTTTTTTGAGACAGAGTCTCGCCATATGTGTCATGCAGCCTCCCAAGTAGCTAGGACAAGGCCACAATGCCTGGCCATTTTTTTGTTGCAGTCATCATTGCTGTTTAGCAGGCCCGGGCTGGGTTGGTGTACATGGTCAACATGGTGTACACCATTTACGTGGTGTACATAGCTGGGTTGGTGAACCTACCAGGCTTGGTGTACGTGGCCGGTGCCATAACCACTGTGCTATGGGCTCAAAGCCTGGAAAAGACAAATTTTAAATGACAATGCATTCTTCCATTCCATTGTGAACCATATAATTGGCAGATTTTTCTGTCACTAACTTAAAACTCTAAATTGACTTCCCTCTGCTCCTCAACAGGCTTCAGGGCTGCCCCTTCTTACCTTAGTTTCCGGAAAGCTATTGTATTTGATTTAACAGTGAGCCAAACAAAAGAGGGTGAGCAGGGACCCCCTTGAACCACACTTACCTGCCCTCCCCCAATGTCCATAATGCCAGAAGGATCTCATATTTATGAAGAAAAAGGGAAGAAAAAAAAATGCATGTACCAAAACTAAATACAAAGATCATTATCAGAAACAGACTTGTTTCATGTAACTAGTTAAGATTATCTGAAGCTCCTCATACTTCCCAGCAACCCCTACCCCACCCCCACCTTAATTATATACTCTTATCTCTGCTAATGAATCATCAAGTGTGTTGAAGTGAGCAGAAGTAGGCACTCCAAAATTTGTAGAGCTTCTGCTTTGTAACAGATATTATCATTTAATCTTAAAGTTCAAAAACAGGCCCAAAGATTCATATCCCAGGTCTAGAAGCTTTAACTCCTCTTCTTATCCAACTCTTATACATGCACACACACATGCGTGTACACACACACAAGTATGCCTGCACACTCACTACATCTTGAGACTAGGATGGCCCAAATAAAAGAATTCAGTGGGGCCTCTCATGGGAAAAAGAGAAAAAGAAGAGCCACCATCCAATCTATCCACAAAGTTCCTCAAAGTTCCTTCTGCTCTTAGAACCATTATCTCTTTCACTTTCTGTCTTGACAGTTTCAAAGCTATAGGAATTCTCTACACACACACATACACACACACCTTCACATTTCTCCCTATTCCACCCAGATAAGCAGTGAACCTAACCTTGCAGGAACAAGCTTTGGGATCATTTCAGTGTCCACACAGTCTACCCCTGGCAGGGGAGTGCTCACTGTGTGGCCCTGTGCCAGGACTGGGCATGGCCCCAGCCAGTGCCAGTGAGGCTGAATGGAGTTCCCTCTGGTATCTGGTTCTCTGCTCTGGCAGTCAAAGGAGATGTGAAACCTTCTGAGAGGCCGCAGGAGGAAAGGGTATAAGAGGATTTCACTTCTCTATTCATGTGAAGTCTGAGGGAGCTTTTTAGAACAAAACAGGACAGAAAACCCAGAGACCTGTGCTCAGCAAAGCAGTTTTTCCACTCCTCTTCCCACCCCTACTATGCTTGCAGATATAGGTCTATCTTCCCACCTCCAGCCAACTCAGAAGACTATTTCAGCCTGTCCATTGTTACCTATGCAGCACTGGGACTGAAAAAGTTATGTTGTCTTTCAACTACTGCCACTATGCAACTGCCCCAAAAGTGATGGCTCTCCCTTCCCCTTCCCACTGCCTCTTCCCTTACTTAGCCTGGCCACCACACAACTGCAGTAGATGAGTTCCACTGCTTACATGCCAAGCCTTACAGGGAATACCAGAGCTAGGAAATATGGAGTCTGTCTCCACATCTCTCCACTTGTAGGTCAGTTGAGGAGTGAGAACAAACACTTATAAAGAGAAGAGTTTATGATAAAGCAAGTAGGCAATACGGCTACTTAAAAGAGAAAAGAGAAATCCTTATGGACATGGTAGGCAGGGGGTCCTCTCAATTGATAGGACATGGTGTGTAGCTCCATAAGCGTGGCGGTGCTGCGAGGTACCCCTGGGGAGGAGGGAGTCCTACAAGGAGCCCGGGATGGCTGAAACAAAATAAGCTGCAATAATGTCACAGACATCGCACACTGAGGGAAGTCACAAATGTGTTCTCTTGCTTTTTCTGAGTATGGCTAAAATAATAAATCTCTGTAGGCACTTCTGGTTCTGAGTTCTTAGGTTCTTAGGTTCCTCTTCCAGACAGATGGTTTTAACTCAAAATTCCATTTTAAAAACACAAAAATTGCTCAACCAAGCAATCACTTGTAATCTAAAACCAGAAGCATGAGACCACACTTGTGACTTCCTTCGGTGTCTTTACAAATCTACACACACTGGCACCCTGGTAGGATTCCATTACTTGCCCAGTCTGTCCAATCCTCCTCCTACCTCCCACATCATGCACCCTGCCCCTGTCAGGATTCACTGTTCTAAAACTAAACTCTGAGCCTTGGGCTACTGTAGCTAGTTCACCATCCTTCTATCCTGCAGCCAAACTACGTGAACTACTAGGGGATAGACTAGCTGATTTGCCACCACAACTCTTGATGAATGTTATCTCCATTTTACCCAGGAGAAAATGGAGGCAGAGGGAGGTCAAGTGGTTGCCCAGATTTATCTAGATACTAAGTAATAGAACCATGACTTGAACTCAGGATTTATGACTCTAAATTCCATATTCCTAATAATCAATTAAAAAATTGAGAATTGTCTACAAGCAAAACAACAGTATAAGCAAAATGAAAATATAAAAACTTTACTTTTAAAAAGAAAACTTTATTCAAGCACATAAATGAAGACCTGAGAGGTAGAGAAATATACCATATTCGTGAATGGACCATCCTACCATAATGACAATCTCTCCCCACATCTGTAACCTAAATGCTATCTCAACCAAAATCATGGCAGGATTTGGGGAGAATTTAACAAACTGATTCTAAAGTATACATGGAAATAAAGTCCACGAGTATCTTAGACAAATTTTGGTAAGGAGAAGTAAAATGGGGGAGGTGGAGTGGTAGAGAATAGAGACTATTCCCACAAAATAGTAACATATATTAAAAAGACAAAATAATTAAACAATGTGACATTGACATAGAAAGTAGTGATGAAGGCTTGTTAACCAGTTGGATGAAAGTATTTCAAATTGTATACAGTAACAGTACACTGTACCCCATGATAGTATTAATGTATACTATTATGATTTAATTTAAGAAAAAAAGTAGTGAGACTGAATAATCCAGAGACAAATTTATTCACATAGGGGAGCTTGGTAAAAAATCCTTGGATATAAATGGAATATTTGGTAAATGGTATTAAGATGATCAATTTACTATTTTGAGGGCAAAGAAAGTATCCTTATGGTATCCTTACACCATAGAGAAAATTTTCAAATTAAGAACGATCTAAATGTAAATGAAAAACAATAATACAAAGAGAAGAAAACATAGTGGAATATTACATGGCCAGATAAATATAAGGTAAAGCTTTTTACCCCAAATTATTCATCAGAAAAGAGGGAAATATGTTATCTATAAGACCATATTTTTTTCCAGATAAGCTGTTTGGGGAAGATACATTATCCTGAAACAATCTCAATTAATAAATGCATGGGAACTGGGATAAAATTGATTTATGAAACGAGGGGGTAGAAATGAAAAAATGCCCTCATTATAATGTTTAAAAAAGTGATTTGCGGGGCAGTGCCTCTGGCTCAAAAGGGTA